TCGCGTCTTAATTTCATGGGATCGATGTTCGACGTGATTATACAGGTATATAATTGTGTACCGCGTTGCTTCGTGATGGCAAATTTACGCAACACTCATTAAACAACTTCTTATCGATTTTTTGAATACTCACAAACACAGATTTCTTGAATTTCGCGATACAGCTAGTAATATTTGCACGCAAGCAGGCATAAAAATTATGCAAATGTATAAATTATACCACGTTTAAATTATTTTTTTATTTTTGATTCAACCAGATTGTTAATCTTTTTATTCATATCAGTATTAATGCCTACTGCATGTGTTTTGGAAATAATGTTTGAAAAAAAGTGAGACAGAGGAACCCTATAATAAGTTTATTTAATCGTTAGCACTTCATAAATTTACTCCGTAGCTTGGTTAAGTAATCGGTAGTGTAAAAAGAGTCTATAATCTAAAAAAATCGCCCATTAATGTAGCCGTTAACAATTTAATTTACCGCAGCACTCTACCCTAATACTATAAGATGATAATAAGACGCATCCGCGCTGTAGAAAAGCTTTCTGCAGATTAATTATATAGTTTAAATGCATTAAAACCGAATATCTTAAATAATAAAATAAATGTTAATTATATTATTTATTATTTATTAGTAGGTTTACTTCATTATGTTTAACTTGTATGAAATAGAAGTTTTAAGATAAAATACGGATGCGTAAAAATCACACTATATCGTATTGTTGTATAGCTAATGAAAGTTCGCATTTCCAGCTCGACAGTACCCCTCGCGATAAACTTGACGTTCGTAAATATTTTAACTGGTTCCAGCTTTTCGTGGCAATTTGCGTGAAAAGGGACGCTAAAAGCGAGGTTGAACGCGCTATTGGGAAGGTACATTCGTTTGGCCGGCCCGTTGTTTATCCGAAGCAACAAAGTTGAATTGTCCGTTAACAAAGCAAGATTGCAAACACTTTTTACGGAAAAGCGGCCTCTTTTTTGTTTGAGTCACGCACAGAGGCGGGTCTGCGAAAATTAGCCACCGTTTGTCTATCCGGGCTATCGAAACCTCTCGATAGCCTCCACGTGCGCCCGTGCCGTGTCGATGTACGAAAACAAAGCGATTTTTGAAAAAAAAAAGAACAAATGGTACATACAAAATGTGTCCAAAAAATCAACTGCATTAAATGATTAAATTAAGCGCAAAAAATGTACGATGCAGATGCGTGCCATTTATAAAATTCCATATGCGTATGCTTCGCCATGTCGAGCCGTGAGTTTAACCGTGTATTTCATTCTGAAATTTCGGTATTATTATGTACTTTAATACGGTATTGTGCATCGGTGCTCGCAGGATTTAAACGTATCAATATGTTTTGCGGTTTCAATAGTGCTTCAAGCAATTCAATTAATGCACGCGTATCGGTACGAGCATGGACAATATCTCGTTCTAATTTCGGTACAATGAATACAAAATATCCTGATTTTTGGCGGCTTTTGTTTCAACTATTATTTTCTCGCAGTTATATCTCTCCAATCTGTAGTAGAAAATTTCTTTTTTAAATGAAATTATTGTATGCTGTTCATTACACATCATTTATTTATTGCAGAATTAACTTTTTGGTTAAACTTGGTGAAATAATTTCTCATTTACAGTCCTAATTAATCGCTTTTGATGTTCTGTATCTATAATTGTGATTACTTGAACTTGTGTTTTTATAGGCAAATTCAATAAACACATTTCGAATGTATATTTCAATTGCGATTGAGTGATAGAGGGAATGGCAGTACGAAATATAGTTGCCCGTGAAATCTCACGAGTCGCGTGATACAGAAACTCAAAGCTATGTCTTCCAGGATTAGCTTTATCCAAGTGCCTCTGCTGTATCACGGTATAAGCAAATATGACGTCACGAATATCAAGTTGACTCTCAAGATCCCGTATATTGAATCACATCAAGTTTCAAGACTAATCTCTCACTTAAATTTGTAAGCGGAGAAACGCGACGGTAAATATACACAAGTCTTAGGTAAATACCGCTAAATAAATAACTAGATACATTTTACGGTCGGATACGGAACTAACTTAATAATTCAATATTTCCTGGAATATTTAATAAAAGTAATCGACTCGATAGTCGCGTGGAGAGCAATCACGATCGGGGCTGATCTTTAATTTGAGCGCAGGTGAAAGACGGGGAAAGAGTGGAAGATACGTGAAATTTATCGTCGGTGGACGATGCCCACTAACGAATGTGTCCCAGCGGAGTAGAACGGGTGGACAATGCAGTTTTCCAATTTTCATCCCCCCACCCCTGGCGGGGCATTCGAGCCACTGTTCGACCTGACCAGGCTAGCGCTCCCCGCGCGCGTGCTCTCATCCTTTATCATCCGCTACCCGAACAATCATAAAGCATGTTGATTCACGGTCCGCCGTAAATTTACTGTTATTTTATTCTTGTTTTAGCGTCGCTTAAGCGGCACTTTTAACGATCCCCGACGTGGCCGCGCTCGAATTGCATCGTGTGCCTCGTTAGACGCGAGATCTGTCCGTCCGTCGCGCTCGTTGACTTCTCTGTCTGTCGCGTGACGTCCACCGACATCCGCCAATTTAATTGCGCGTCGCGGGATCTAATTAATTGATACATCTACCCACGAGTTTCTTTTTATGCGGCAGGAATTATATTTGTCTGTTCTTGCATGTACAAGAACGTTTAAGTTTAAATAATACACTTTTCGCGTATTACAAATGCTTTTCACACGCGACATATTAATTGATCAGACTGATATTGCGTTCTTCTGTTGCTACGATTTTGAATTTTGTAAAAATTTAGGTTTTTTTTCAAAGAAGGAATTGTACGTAGCGCTGTAACATTAGAAATTTCAAGCACGTAAATGTTGTAATTTGGATCTGAATACACGCCGGACGTTACGTTGACGCGACTGGCCGAGTTTTACACAGTTCGCATCACCTTTACTGCGGGGTGACAGTTATATACGATTACACTGAGAGAAAAGCTGAACCGGTATTCGTTCCGGCGACGGTGAGCAAGTAGGAGGGGATGGCTGAGACAGGAGTCTCGTCCGGGAAGAGTTACTACCGCTGCTACCAGTGCTCCTGTCCGAACTTGAAAAATAATTCAGCACGAAGTAATGTCCTGAATATAAAATGCGCATAGGACGCGTCAATTTCAAAATAGGTAGAAGTCTGGACGGGAAACAGCCGCTCGCCGCATTTTTAATTTATAGATTCGGCACAGTTTGAATGTAAGTAAAATTACAGTCTTCGTAAGAAACTTGCGAAAAAGGCTCGAGCGTCAAAATTGAAGATATAAAATTAAATATCCATTATCTTACATATTATATTCATTCTTCATATTTTTATATTTTTTTTATATTTCATTAATATTAATTCAATATTAATTAAATATGAAAAGATAAGAGATATGAAGAGTATTAGCTGAACTAATTTGTTTGCACATTAAATTGCTTTCATTTTTGTAAATCTTGTAAATCTTGTAATACTAATCAATTTATCCCTTAAAAGATCAATATCTCCACGATTTAAATAAGATTTAATTATTTTGAGAATCATTAAATCTGAAATGCACACTGAATAGTAAAGGACATGCGTATATAGATATGCCATAACGTTCAGTAGTAAAGCAAGAGTATAGCTGCGGCGTGAAGTACAGTAATAAAGAGTGTATTTTTGCTCTTTATATGACGCCTTTAAACCATACAACCGTAAAATTGTCAGATACTAGTATTACGTTAAGCATAAAATATAGCTTGCTTTCTTGACAATAAGTATTTAGAAATAAACAAATTTTGTTATATCTTAATTAAGAATTATTTTTGAAATATGAAATAACACGTATAATTGAATTTCGATCATGAGTACTGTAACGTCTGTTACATGGAAAAGATGTAATGTAACTGTGTGTATATTGCATATACATATTAAAAAAGCGTGGTTAATGCATTCGTTGTTCAGTTTTGTTAGTCGTTCTCTCTTGTCGTACAGGCAATTCACCTTTATGATCAAATATGTAATCATGCCTGTCACCCTGTGACTTTTTGCCCATCTTATTTGTAATTCATAACACATCAAAGCGCTACCGCCGTAAGAAAGAGAGAGAGAAAGAGAGCTAACGATATAGTGCCGGTAGTGGAATTGCGAATTTGAGGAGAATTATGTCTTCAGAATTCACGATGCATGACAAGAGAAATTGCTATAACACACGCACGTTCCCGCATTTGACAAATTCGAGTATGCGGCATGATTTTCTTTTACATATTGGAATAAACATGAATAAGCGAACATCGTCTTATTTGATATTTATAAGAGAGGCTGAAGCATAATTCAGCCGGTGATTATATAATCTGAATTTATTTCGCGCGATACGTAAATCAAATAAAAATTGATTGCATGTACATATGTTATCTATATAAAATAATTCTTATGTAACAATTTTATACAAAATTCTTTATGTTGAAAAAAATAATTTTGCAAAATAATATAAAAATGTGAAAAAATATGTATTAAATTAAGTTTTAAAATGTACACATGTTTGTTCTTGTTTATTTTGTACAGTATAAAAATATATATTTAAATATATGTCGAAATATATATCTTAATTTGTGCAATGATTTTATATACGTATTACATATTGCCTATATTTCCATAATATTATCAATAGAAAATTATTATCGTTTCTTTCCGGTACATAACTCCATAAATATAAACAAAAAATGAACATTATAATAATTATAATTATTAAAATCAATACTCACCTTATTTTGCTGCGACAATCTGACGAGAGTTTTTTAGTTATTTATTATATGTAAGGAACACTGACAAGAATGCAATATACTATTGTAGACACACTTATACGCCGGAATTTCATGAAATTCATGACGCATTCTCCTCGACCCTTCGAAGGAAAGGATATAGCACGATACACAATATCAAATTACCTCCGCATCCTTTGGCGCTGCGTGGCCGCTTTAATCCCATTGACTTTAAGAGCTGCGTTCAAAGAAACACCGTGAATTGCGAGAGAGCACATCGAAAAGAAGGTTCCGGAACATTGAGATCAAATGGAGTATCGCAGGTCATTTAATGAATTATTTGCGCACGAAACTAAATTTAAGAGACAGCATGCGAGGAAACTTGTGCAAAGGACGTTTTATTTTTGTTCCCATTTCTGAAATTCTTTCAAAAAAACCTACCTCATTTTATATATGCACAATCGGAGAACTGAATGAACATACTAAATTTATTGTCTTAATTAATGAGAAAAAGTTGGGGCTTTTAAAGCACGGCCGGCGGAAAAGATTTATGCACTTATCACTTTTCTATTATTTTACAAGTACAGTCATTCTCTAGTCTAATATATTACGGCAAAGAAATATTACATTACGTACAAACCAACTTGGCGTTTATACTCTTTCCCATGTAAAATTGTTGCAACAAAAAGTAGTTTTGTATGTATATGATCATTACCTATAATAAATATCTACAAAAATCTGTCATAGAATCTACTTATTGATCATCTTGCTGTAACCAACTTCTCAGTTAGAGCAATTCATAATTTCCACATACATTTTTTAGAATCTAGCCAATTATAATTATTCTTCATATCAACATTCTCTGTTACATATAAAAACAGATTAACGTTAACTTCTTAAACACGTTGATATTACATTATTTACCCTATTTCCCTTGATTGCATTATGCACTAAGCAGTTATATTATTTATTTAATAGCCCAATTTATCAATCATGATATAATTATGCTCTACGATTTATATAACATTTTTAAGATATTTCCCGAACTAAATCAAACTTTCCGTAACTTTATTTGTACGTATTTGCAATTATTGCAGAAGATAAATTTGAGCCCTCCAAATGGCTCTTATCGCAAACAATTTTTAAATTGTGTAATCTCTTCATCTGGTATATCATATAACGCGCTTTATAAATATGTTTCCTAGAATCTATAAAAGTTTATCTTTACAAATCTAAATTCGCTTGGTCGCATTTTAGGTACATTTCAACGTTGCAATGGGAACGGCAAGAAATAAGCGTGAAATACTGTCGGGTGTGTGCGCTAGAGCAAGAAAGTTTGGCTGTTGCGCGCGAGTATTAGAAACCACGAAAACGGAAGCAGAAGTCCGGGCCAGTGCCTGACGTCACTTCCGGAGGAGACGTATCCGGCGTCACGTTGCATGGCTTCCGTGCGTTCCCCTGTAACAGAAAGGCAAAAAAAAGAAGAGAATCAAGTGTCAGTGCTACACTCGTCAGCCGTCCCTTGTATCGCGCACGTAATCGTATATGAATATTTACGAGTGCGGTATCAAATTAACGCGGGTTTCACGCGATATCATCTAATGAGCGTCACGTCGGCGGGAAACGCTTCGCATGGGCAGACGTTGAAAAATTGCCGTATTAGGATATTGAATCCTGGATATCACGCGCCGGAAATCTTGATACTTTTTTGAGAATAATGACACCACCCACACTCGTAAATCAATGTCGCTTCAAGATTACGAAGATTATGGGTTTCCTCGTGTTACAAGGGAATCCATTAATTATTACGTTGTTTGAGGCATGTCGATACGCGTCTCTCTATCGTTTCTTTATTCTTCGCTATTTAAACTTAATACAATGTTGCAAAAATCAATTTGATGCAATTTGCACAGCAGATACCATCAATTACCATCTCAGAATAACAGAGTAAATAACAGTTTTACAAAGTAAAAAAAATTATTATCAATAAGATCAAACATAGTTTACATCAGTCAACGTATCGAATATGACGTTTATTTTAAATATCGAGATAAATCGAACAGTTCTTGAAATTTTTACGTTTAATTCAAGACAACCATCTCTCATGTAGACCGCGTATAACAAAACATTTGCGAATTAGCTGATATTTAACATAGCCAAAAAATATCAGCGAAATTGAAGCTCGTACATTGTTGTACGATATATTAAACGATACATACCAGTGCGAAAGAACGCGTTTCGCATATATGGCAACAAACACGTGTAACTACAATCAGCTTGCACGAAGACAGTTAGTTTTACCAAATTCAATCCGCAATATTTCCAGCGAGACGTCAACAACGATAGCTGTCCTGTCCGTCACAGAAAATTAAAAAAAAAAAAAAAGATTTGTAAATATTTCAATCATTGCAGCTGTCATACTGCATGAATTACTTCCGTGGGGTCGGCGGAATAAAGCGATGGGAATAGAGGGAAATCTTTTGCGCTTTGATCTCGCGGAATTTATTTTGCGTTTTACTATTTGCCCTGAGATCCATCTATGCTCGATCGCGCTAGCGAGTCGGTATAGAAAACAGTTAAAAATCTTAATGACGAAGAAAACCTTAATTCCGACCGCCGATGACCCTTTGAAGCTTAGATTCCAATCGCGCCTTCATCTTTACGACCATTAACGGGAACGAAAGCTGAACTTCACTGGGGAAAACCGGTAACAGGTACTTTATTTTCTAAAATTACGCTTTTAACGACTTCTTCTTTGATTACGCAGCGTTGATCCTTTAATAGCTGGAATACGTCCGCTTTGTGGTGCGCGAGCAAACTTCACGAACCAATGGTCCTACCCGACGTTCAAAAAAAAAATAATATTGATAGCTCTAAAAGTATAAAAGAAAATCGTCACTAAATAGGTCACAATATTGTTATAGGATGACGTTCAATTTGGACAGATAATAGTAACAATCGTAACGGGGACCGTCAGTAGCGACGAGACAGCCAGCAGCGACGTTTTATATCGATGAACCGCATATTCAGTAGTATAAGTATCGATATGGTCAGTCATGTTGCATAAGCAATATGTCATCAAAATTCCACCAATGACCGGGCACGTGTACTCACTAATTACAAATTAATAATTAATTTCTTGATAGTAACATGACATATCGCGAGATGTAAATTGAATTCTACGATTATGCCGACCAAATTACCTCGTTAGTAAATGTTTACTGATGCCGCGAAGAATATGGTTTTTAATTGCTGCATACAGAGCATAACTAAATTGTTTTGATATTTTCTAGAAACATTTACGTTTCAATACTTACAGATACTTTTAATGGCGTAATAAATACATTCCAACGCATCTCGATAACCTGTGAAGAATATGACAAACGATAGGTGGTTTTCTGCACGTTACATCATTACGTATTAGACGTATTGATAATAAGACAATAATTATTATCAATGCGCATAGCGCAGAAATTCAATGAGGATCGATGACGATCGACTGCACCGTATCAATGGCGATCTCCAGAATTCGGGCGACAATATGCTGCCGAGGTATGCCTGCGTACAGCCGGGGTATGCGTCCCGATCAGGTATTCGTATGAAAGCCGCGTCATTAACCGTATGAATCGCACACGCTCGATCGAGGCGAGCGTGCTGCTCGATCGCGCACGACCGTGAACGTCGGCGCGTCCGTGTGTTGGTGTCTGGGAATGCGACACGCGTGTACGGGGGCACGTGGCACGCATACGCACGCCGGAACTGCACGCTGCGCCGATTAAAACGGAAGTAAAATCTTTGCACGTGCGACGCATCTACATTTGGGAGCACGATGATCTATCACCGTTGGTTTGCGATCGCATACATATATACGGCAACACTTGACGGCGTCTACTTGGCACCTCCTGCATGGACAATTCGAAATGCAAATGACGTGCAAACGTACGCTTGATTATATTACCAAGTGCCAAGTTGTAGCACCGACTTCGGCGTGATAATTTCAAACGTTCGAGAAAATTTGGTCTCCTCTTGAACTTTCTAAAAAGTATTTTCTCTTCTCATATAAATAATATTATCTTATATTATATAATTTCAGCAGTATTATACAAAAAAAATTATAAAAATAATTATTTTGCAGCTACTGCAATTTGTCATGTTAAAATATAATAGAAAATTGATATTTTAGGTCACTAACAATAAACAAGTACCTGCCATTGCCAAAATTTAAAACTGTTTAGTTTTATTATAAAAGCGTTGTGTGTATGAATAACTATTAAATTATAATTAAATATAAAAATTGTATGAAATTTTTGCTTTCTACGAATAATAACTAGCTAAACTATAAAAAATAATTAGAATAGTGCAATTAACTGTCGATAATTAATTAGGCTTTTCCAATTTCAATTTCCTCATTAAATTTTTCATAATTTTTCATTAACCTTACTTTATTAAATATTCCAACCTTTTATTATTCAACGTCATTTTTCACACCCAACGTATTTAAGCTCTTCTGAAAACTAACTGCGATATATTTTAAAATAACACGCGCTTAATTATAACGGAATTGATTATTGAGCTGAGCGAGAGCGGAATTAAAAATTAATTTTCAATCTGCAATAGCGGTCCGGTAAGGATCGTATAGTCCGAGCAAATAATATTTCTCTCGCGAGTCAATAACTTTTTCGAGCGATCGGCTTAGAAAGAGAAAAACCACGCAGGAATGTGGCAAATTAAAACTTCACAACGGCATATTAGCGAATGCTCATAATTATGTACATATATAACGGGCAACAATGTTCGTCACATTACTTTGATTTTTATACGCCATTCATCATAATTACCGACCCAATTTTTTTTTCTAAAGTATATATCAACATATAATAAGTGCGAACACGTTCGCATTATAGCTGCGCGAAATCATAATGATTTATGAGCGTTGGAAGTTCACGAGTAAGTTGCACTTTAGCTCATCCGCTCGCGCTCTTAGCAACTCCTTAGACACTGTCTCGGAAACTGTCTACTCGCGCCGAGAAAGTTACGTCTAAAGCGAGGTAAGAGTGTACAAAGTTGTACAAAAATGGAGATTTTTAGTTAATGGATGCACAATTTTCCGCCTCTCTCTCGCGCGATTGCGCGCGCGCGCGCGCGCGCGCGTGTGTGTGTGTGTGTGTGTGTGTGTGTGTGTGTGTGTGAGAGAGAGAGAGTAAATTCGTAAATAATTGCTCCGTGCGTAATTAACGATAGATCTCGGATGAATTATTAAATATTTTGGATACTCTTCCTTATAACAAACGAGGAAGTTGGAAGATTAAGGGCTTAGCTTAAGTCCGTTTATAATCCACGTTATAGCTGCGCCGATACGAGCGCTCTAAACTGGCTCTCGGAAGATATCTGTTAAAGTGTGCATTGTCGTATTAAAGGAAATAAATGGATTCCGCAGTTTAAGAACTCTCGTCGTAGCGGGCGCGCGCGGGGGGTATGGGGCAACGGATGAAAAATTAGCCGGAACCGAAAGTCGAAGCTCGCGGATTTCACTTTGCGCGCGCGAGTGTATTTCGGCTAGGAAATTTAATAATATCGTACGTTAGGAGGACGCGACACCACGGGAGAAACGGAGAGCGAGATAAGAAACGAGAGGCGAGAGAGATCTACAGGAGAGCGGGGAGTTTGCGAGCCCCGGTATAAACGACAGTCTAGGGAGCCGTTAGGTATTAAACTCCCTGCAAACTTCCGCAGTCCGTCGTGCTCGATATATATTTAAAATATCTTGGAAGTATCCATGAATCGTCTAGACTGAGCCGGCGACGTACCGAGGCACCAGGGATTTCGTTGGATGTCGGAAAGTGATATCATAACTCGCTACAACGGCACGCGGAATGTCCCGATTTGCCGAGTCATATTTAACGCTTGTTTACCCTCCTATCGTTTCTTAAAAGATTTTAATCGATTTCCCTGTGACGTTACCGTAAATATCCGTGATATAAATCTTATTCCTGCCCGTTCGCATTTAATACATCCTTCGCGCAGGCGCGGAGAAACATTTTAACAGATTGCGATAAAGAAATGTGCAAACATCAAAATTTTTAAATACGTCTTGCTCGCTGCACCCCTTTCTCAAGATACCCTCGAAAGCTCAGCAGTCAGTTGCGAGATGGTGAGAGGGACGAGCTCGAAGATGTCGGAAAAAAGAGAAATAAAAGCGAAGGAAGAACCGCGCTTAAATCGAAAGATAGTGAAATTAAAAGCGGTCAAGAGAGAAAGAAGCTTTCGACGGTACCCTCGACCACACCTCTCTCGGCACTCTCCGGCTGCCGACTTTCTGGATGTAACTGTATATAGCTCCGCAAACGAACAAGGCAAAAGATTCTACCGCTTGCGCGCTTCTATGTAGCACAAGCGGCGCGAAAACTCGGCGATGAGCAATTAGGAAAATTGAATTCCGGCGTAATTAACTTTCTTAA